TTAAGTCGTACAGTCCTGAAGTTGCTGTGGGGTGGGGCGGTCAGGACAATACTTCACAAAGTGTGGCCACCAGCACAAGCTGTAGGTGGAGAATTAGGATAACACTCACCCGGTTTTCTATAATGTGCCCAGTTTAGTAGTTTGCAGGAGGAAGCCTATTTCATGTTAGCTCTCACACCACAGGTCAATTCATTTTTGTTTTTTCCAAATATAGATTTAATCTCTTAAAAACAAAGGACCATGCTAGCCAAGAGTCAAAGTGTCATTGTTCAGGAGACATTAAGGATTTAGGGCAGGTTGTGGTACACAGTTACAGAGGCAGCAACAGAGAAGACAGGAAAAAATGCATAGGCTATCTTTGGATTTGTTCATTTAAATTCTTATTAAAATCTGTGGTGCTGAAGAAGTTGAAAATTAATTTCCTGAGTTGCCACTTATTTCCACTACACTCAGCTACTATTTTCTAGGCTTGCATTTTCTCTGAACAAAGAAAAAAGAGTAGAAAAATTATAATGGTAAAAGCATTCAGAGAGCTTTTGGGGGTTAAAATTAAAACTGAAATAAGCCCTGTGTGTAAGTACTCCCCTACTAAGAATTTTAAATCCTCGCCTAAAAACATAAGCGATTGTGCTCAATTTTAGTTAGAAATTTAAAGATTAAACTTTTAAATGTACTCTTTTATGTTTTCACTCATTTATCTATTCATTCATTTATTACACTGATTGCAATATGTGTTCTATGTACAAAACACCACAGATGCATTGGTCAGTTTTCTCATTGCTGAAACAAAAGATCTGACACACAAACAGTGTGAAGGAGAAAAGGCTTATTTTGGCTCATGGTTTCAGGGATTTCGGTCATGTCCAGCTGGCTCCAGGGCAGAAGCATCATGACAGAAGGGACTGACAGGAAAAAGATGCTCAACTCATGGTGTCCGAGACACAGAGAGCAGGAGGATAGCCAAGATAAAGAGCCCAGAGGCCAGACACGTTCCCCAGGGTCATACCTCCAGGACCCACACAGACACAGGCTTTACCAGTGTGCTTTGCTTGTCTCCTAGGCCTCTCTCAAAGCCATCAAGGTTAATAGATCAGTTTCTAAGAATCTGCCTTTTAATGGTGTTGCTTAAAATTTAGTTTTTGATTTAAAATTGAGTAGGTATGTTTTTATAAATACGAAAGAACAAACTAAAGGAATCAAGTTGGGAAATTGGGTCTTGGTCAGTTGATAAACGAATGCCCTGTGTGTTTCACAGGCTCAGTATAACCATGGAATGTGCAAGACCTTTAGTTCTCTGGAGAAATTCTTATACAATATTTGAATAAGCTTAACATTTTGGTTTTCTGGACAGGTGTTTCAAGCTTTCGAGAAGAGTGACCTGGGCTGTGGAGCAGGTGGTGGCCGTGACAATGCAGATGTGTTCCATCTCGCTGGACTCACCTTCATCACCAATGCAAATACAGATGAGTCTCAAGAAAATGGTAAAACGCTCAGCTTTTTTATTATTTTATGTTTATTAGTACATGTTTGCTGGACATGATTAAATTCATCATTTTTTAAACTGAATTTTACATTGATTTCTATCAGACATCACTTTTCTCTCTTCCAGAATATTCTCTACACTGCTCTTAGAATTTCATGACTGTGTAACTCCCCTGTATAAAATGTTTTAGTGACCTTAAGGATAAAATACAAATTCTTTAATGTAGTACTCAGACCCTTTATGATCTTCTCCCTGGTACTTTCCAATTATTTCTCCCTGCTCTTTCTTACTCCTCTGCAGTTCTTGGAGGGCTCCATCCTCTTTTACACCTTTAGGCCATAATTTATCAAGATTGCTTTCCCTTTTGTTAGCCTGGAGAAGCTAGGATGACAGTTGTCTCCTCTATAAGGCCTTTTCCCCATATAAAATCGATTATCTTCCCCACCTCTTTAAAAGAGAGGATATGGTAGGGACCAAATCTATACACAAACAGTATTACCCATTTTTACTCTTGGTTATAAGTCTGAACTCATACCCAGCACTGGGAGCTGTTCAAGGGCAGAGATCACATCTTAATCATTTTCTTTCTGGGGCTTTAAAGTTGTTCCTATTATACACAATATTATGGTATTCATATTTAAATCTGTAATAATATAGCTCAATAAGCAAATAAGAAAAATAGATTACCGAAAACTTTGTTCACTCCAGATGTTTTGGTACTTCTCTGTAATCAAAGGATCAAAAGGTTGCAGGATTCAGAGCCAAATTCAAATCAATTTTCTTTTAAAAAATCAACTAGATGACACTAGGAGCTCCACTATGATGAAACAAGTGGATGGTGCATAACGCCTACTTTGAAGCAGCTTCTCAGTGTGGACTTACTGGATGAACAACTTCTGAATGTTTTAAATACTCAAGTTTTATGGAAGGTTTTTAGATCTTATTTACTTCTTTCTTTTTCTTTGTCTCTATTTTTTAAACAGATAAAACTTGTAAGGAAATTCTCCGGCCAAGAAGAAATCTGCAAGAGAAAATACAAAAACAAGGTACTCTAAAGGTTTCATGTGACCCTTTAAGTGTTATGAGCATATCATTCAAAAAAGTTATAGAAAGCGAAAATTATATAATTTCATCTCATTAAAATAGAAGAGATGAGAAGAAATATACATGTGGCCCTCTAGCTCAGTTCTCTCAGAGAAACTAAAGCAAATAAACCCATTAGTTCACTCATCATAGACTTAATCTGAGGTAAATAAGTCTTCATTATGTCTATCTCTAAAATCTAAAATATTAACTTTCATTTGACACAAATATTTTCTCTCTACAAACTTCATATAATAATTAACATCACATTCTTCCATTTTATTCCAACAAAACTCATGATTTGGTTAACTTTGGGGAATACTAGAAATTACTTCTTTTATTTAACATTTAATAGCATTATGGGTTATTCTTTTGAAGTAAGGCTAGTGTAAATTATTTAGTTATTGATAAATGGCCACTGGAAGCAAGCACCAAATCTTGCAGTCTGGATCCTGAGTTCAGTCAGTAATCATACTTATGGTAATATAATAATATCTTCTATATGTATAGGAACTATTATAATTCTAATCTTCATTCTGTGTGGTCCTGAGATGAAAAGGCATAGACTGATTAATCTGAGTACTTACAATGAAAAACAATACCACTAGCAAAGGTCTACAAGCTATATCTCATAATAAATGTTTCAAAAAATAGAATAACATGCAGAAGGGAAGTTATGTAGTAATGAGAGGCATCTTCAGATACTTGAAAGCTTCTTGGACATTTAACTTATTGTATTCAAGGGATTCAGAACCCAAAGTGTCAGTTTCAAAGGATAGTATGTAGCTTAGTTGCAAGAAACTCTTTATCATGTAGTGTGAATTGGAATGGAGCACATGGTAAGGTCATATTCTTCCTATTCCTAGAGTAGTTGTAAGGAAAGGCTGGTCAGTCAATTGTGGGCATTGTAAATAAGGGCATCATTTGTCTGTAGAAACCAAGTATCCTTTGTGATTCCTCCTAAGCCTGAGATATCATGACTCTGGGCATGATCAAGGCTCATATACTATCCTTTCAGCTGCTAAGTACAAACATGTGGTGCTAAGGAAATGCTGCTATGATGGAGCCCGTCGGAATGACTATGAAAGCTGTGCGCAGCGAGCGGCACGGATTACCGTAGGTCCACACTGTATCCGAGCTTTCAATGAATGTTGCACCCTTGCAAACAAGATACGAGCTGAAGACACTCTTAAACCTATCCCGTTGGGAAGGCTACGTAAGTATTTCATTTGCTATCAGACTTCTGGCCAAAGGAGGGATTTTTTTTTTTTTTTTTCATTTTCTACTGCTCATAAAAGCAGTTTTGGGGTTTGGAGATTTAGCTCAGCGGCACAAAACCTGCCTTGCAAGCAGGCAGTTGTAAGTTCGATCCCCAGTACCGATTTAAAAAAAAAAAAAAAAAAAGCAGTTTTTAATGTTCTGGCTAAAATTGAAAGTAGAAACTATAACTTGCAAATACCTGTAAGAGAAATCTATTAGCATTTTTGGAAATTTGAAGAGGTATAATACAGAGCAAGCCCAGAGTCAAGACCCAGTGCAAATTTAAAGCAAATTTTACTCTACAAATCTGAGTGAATAGTTATCCTCTCTGAGTTTCAAGTGAGAAGTTTAGACCAGAGTATGTAGCTTAGTTGCAAGAAACTCTTTATCATGTAGTGTGAATTGCAATGGAGCCAGAATGCCTTTGAGTTTTAGTGTGCTATGATTCTCTTTGATAATGCAACATTAAAAATTCTGTTTATACCTACACTAACTAAATGCAGCAAAGGACTTCTAAATCTTAGAGAACTCTCACTAATATGTTTGTAGAACTTTTAGGACTTACCTTTCATTTGTTTAGGAAAATAAACAAAAGCAGCTAATGTTTAAAAAAAGAAACACAAGCAAAATAAGAGTTCCTATTTTTACTCTGATTGTCTTATTAAATCACATATGCTAAGCATCTCAAATAGATGGATAAAGAAAGTGTATTTACGCACAATGGCATACTAGTCTGCTATAAAGAAATATAAAATTTGAATCATTTGTGGGAAAATAGCTGTACCTCAAGACCAAAATGTTAAGTGAAATAAATCAGTCACATAATTTTACATATTGCATAGTTTCGCTTATATAAGAAATCCAACATATAAATAGAGAGCAAAATAAAAGGTAGATAATAATAAGAAAGAGGGAGACAGATATTTCCCAAATTGGAAGGGGATCTAGAGATGGAAGGAGGAGAGGGAGGGAAAGGGAATGAAAAAAGGAATTAGTATGTGTTATGTATGTGGATCAACTCCACACAAGGAATGTTAACATTAGTAGTGCAAACAAATAATAATTTTTAAAAAGCACAAACTAAAAAATTGGATATGTTTGTGTAAACATAAGTATTATTATGGTCTTTTACACACCATGTTATTACAAATATTTCTGGTATTTCCTATTTTTTATAAAATGTAGACTTTTCACAAATTTGAGTGGCATGCTTTGGGGTTATGCTAATATTCTCTGTATCGTTCCAATTTTAGTATATGTGCTGCCTAAGCGAGTACTTGTTCCTAGGTTTTACTTAGTACTAACAGCATTTTGATGAACAACGTAGAGCTTATGTTTTCACTGCCCGTTTTTTCAAGTAAAACCATCTGGTTTCAGCTGCACAGAGCTTCCCTCTGGTAACCCTGCCCCTCATCGCAGATGGTGTGGCCTCCCAAAACTCCCATCTGTCTGCTACAAGTCTTCAAGACTACCAGGCTCCGTGTAGTCTGTACTCCCTGATGTGGCCTGTTACCTCCTCCAGGCAGTACACTGGGACAGTCTTAGGGCTCACCTTTCTGTGGGATCACAGTCCAGTGTCACTTATGCTCCAAAGTCTGAACGTTGGTTTTGTTTTGGTTTGTTTCTCTTCTGGCACTGGGGATTGAACCCATGACCTTGTGAGTTCTAAGCAAATGCTCTACACTGAACTTTGCCCCAGCTCAGGTAGCTGGGATTAAAGGAGTGCACCGCTGCATTCAACCTAAAAATGCTTATTTTTTGTATTATGCTTAGTTTTCAAGATTTTTTCAGGCTAGGGGTAAATGCAGTCCCTATGATATGTCTCATGCAGAAGTACTTATTAAAGTAAATACAAATAAATGATCGATTTAAGGCAGGCTATTACGTAAAGCTTCCTTTTTTCTAATATAAACACAATTATTAAAATTATAGAAGTGCCAATAATTCCACACACTGGCCAGTATCTTGTAGAACATCAGGAACATTAAAAATTCAACAATTTAAGAAACAAATCATTTTATATATTTTATGCTTTATCAGTGCTTGTTCTAAGAGTTTCATAGTTTTATTCTGAAATCAATGAACACAATGTTTCATTTATTTTTCAGAAAACATTTAAGTTACAGATTAACACTATAAATTTCATGTATGAGTAGATTTTATATTGTTTTTTCTGTAATTGAATGTTTTCTTTTTCTCCCTAGATGTAAAAACCGTGTTACCAGTGACAAAGGTAGCAATTCGGAGCTACTTTCCAGAAAGCTGGTTGTGGGAAGTTCACCGTGTTCCTACAAGGTATTATGCTTCTTTGATGTTACTCTAGAAAAAAATGGAAATTTCAAGTATTATGGCCTGGACACGGTTTATTTCCCTACAGTTTGCTTAAGAGTTAAGATGTTTAAAAGTTAAAATTTAGTCTTATATTGTTTTGCCTCATGATTTTGTTTTTTAATATGCTTATTTTGGAAATTGGTTCCAGGGCAGCATTAATCATTGGTAAATAACAGTACTATTCCATTTCATTTCATTTCACTTTAGTATCTGTTTCCTGCATACAGACATGGGCTGTACTCTAGTAAGCAGCTCCTTTTAAACTACTAATATCTGGAGTATAAAACAAATGCTGGTAAACAAAAAAAAAAGGTTATTCTCTTGTTAAAGTCTTTGATTTGACACTTTTTGATGAAATAGCTGCTCTGTACCAATAATAAGAAAACAATAAGAAATACAGTCTCCAAGCATCATTCTTCCTAGATAGGCCAAAACCACTAGTTTTCAGGCTTATTTGTTCATGATTATTCTTGACTTGATCCTGCTCCCCTCTAACTTTTCTGTTGTCCTCTTATCTGACAGTGTTTATTAGCTAGCACCTTTGGCAAAATTTCCCAACACTGTTTCTCACCCTATATTAGGAGTTAGGTTGATTTACCCTTCCCAATTACAGTAACCCCATTTTGGATACCAGAGTACAGCACTGGCCTGTTTACTTGGCCTGTCTTCTTCATTAAAGTGTAACTACCTCAAAGACAAGAACTAAATTCAGATTACCATTTTGTACACAAGACCTGGCCTAGGACTCTGCTTATAAAGGCATTTAAATAAAGGTGTTGAATGAATACATACTGCCTATGAATTCTTTTAATGCTTTCTTGGTACAACTGCTACAGCGAAGTAGTTTATTCCACTCTACCTGACATAGAGTTGATATGCAACAGCTGTCAATAAATATACAAGTTCAATCACAATCAGAAATTTAATTGCATCAGTTTTCTGCCCACAGTATCAAGATGCATTACTTTGCTTCCCTATTTTAGAACATACAATGAACAAAAGTTTTCTTTGTTCTATTTGTTTTGCCTTTGCAGTGTTTCAAAGGCACCCTTCTAAACTTAAATGTTCACTTTACAGGTGTAATATTTAAAAAAATGGAATACGTGAGGGTTGCTGAATGCATTTTTCTTTAATGAGATTTTTGCTTACTAGTTGACATGATTTTGTCTTGTGATTTCTTCTGTCTTCTAAACTAGTTCAAAGAAAAAAGTTTGTCATGTTGGATTAAATAATGTTTAAATATAGTTCAAAATCGACTTTTTAACTTCTAGGAGTCAAATACAATTAAAGCTACCTGATTCTCTCACCACCTGGGAAATTCAAGGCGTGGGCATTTCAAACAGTGGTAAGAAACTTCCCAGTTAGACACTGACTTAAGCGGCGATTTGATTAGCAAGGTGCAGGTCTTGGTTATGTCTTTAGTTTCTCAGAACTTAAGTGATGTCATTGTAGAGTATATTCTTTATGTATAAAGGTGACTTAGAGATAGCCACATCTTTGAACCTATTGGTTTCTTCTTTTTCTCTTTTTACTTAACTGTCATTTTATAGCTGCTGTCAAGTCTCCACTTTCTTTCATTTTTTCAGTGACTAGGAGGTTGAGTAGAGTTAAAAGCAATGTATGACTTCTCCTTCATGGCAACTTAGTGCAGATACTTTATAAGTAACTTCAGAGTTGGTTTCATCTTTTTGCTCTTTGTGTTTCCAAAAATCTTGGTTTCCACAATAAAAATTCTTATTTATTAAATGGATCCAATAATATATATATATAAAGTTTAGGTACTTTTGATAATAAGTATTCTTGCACCTTAAGTAGAATTAAATAATTGTTGAATGAATGAAATGTCTACTAACACATGCCAGTAAGTATAAAAATAAAGATCAGTGGTCAATCTAAAAAGACATGGGATGAGAGAAAAACATGATCTAATATTCTTTTGTCCTTAAAGTAAAGTTAGTATAAGACATTTTAGTACTAATAAAACACGACAGGAATTCCCTAATACATGTCTATTTTGCTTTTTGTTTGGGCTAAAGGTATGTGTGTTGCTGATACTCTCAAAGCAAAAGTGTTCAAAGATGTCTTTTTAGAAATGAGCATACCGTATTCTGTTGTACGAGGGGAACAAATCCAATTGAAAGGAACTGTTTATAACTATAGAACTTCTGGGATGATGGTAAGTAGTTATTTATGGTAAATTAGAACAAATAGGCAAAAAGAAATGCTTTCTGGTTTTCTGAGAATGACATTAATGTAACACAAAACAGTAAAACTTGAACTCAGTTCAGCATGAGAAACTAAGCATCTGTGAGTATTGTGCTAGATGTGCTGTTTGATAGACGGGATATGAAAAGGAGGAAGAATTAAGAAAAATATTCATGTAACCTAGCCCTGAAGAAGAACACAGTATATAAAATATTCAGTATGCTGCAGTGGTTCAGAGGTGCGTTCACATTCAGTTTGCTGAGTATCTTTGAATTCCTTGATCTCCTTGACTCTAAAAACCCTTTCCTTTCCTCCAAGGTAGCCATTTATACTCATCTTCACTTCGTAGGTCTTATCGTTCCCTCTGACACCTTGATTTAAAACATCTGACTATACAGAAGGCCTCCTTCCTTTTCTTCTAATTCATTTCCCTTATTACTTCCAAAGCTATGGCTCTGCAGCATTGTGGAAATCAAACACATTGAAACAAACACTGTTGTAATATCAGTTAGTCCCCTGCTGCTGTCACTTCAGAATATCTGGCATCTGCAGTTTAGACAGAAGTTTATTTTGGCTCAGTTTTAGGAGGTTCAGTTCATGTTTGACTGGTTCCACACAGAAACATCATGGTGGAAGAGAGCAGCAGAGAAAAGATGTTCCACTCCTAGTATGGGGGAGTCAGAGAGCTGGGGAACAGCGCCAGAGAGGAAGGAGTCAGTGACTGATACAGACTCCAAGGCCGTGCCTCCATGACCCACCTAGACACACCTGAAAGTGTGCTTTTCTAGTTTCCTCCATGTCTCTCGTACCGACCAAGTTGACAAGCAAGATTAACCATCACTATTTTACTCCCCGAATGCACCATCATTTTAATCACAGCAATTAAAATCATACACCCTGACTCACTGCAAGGTACAATCTATGGAAAACTCCAACCATGAGGGGACCCACGAGTTGTCCTTTTTGTAGCACACCTTTAGAGAATATTACAGAGTAGGCTGTTTCCACTAGAAAAACCATAATCACAAAACTTTACGTGGGAACCCTGTGAAGTCCAAAACTCTACCTGCATTTTTAAAAGCTGTAATATTATTCTTAGAGATAACCATCTCAGCTGTCTCAAAAAATTTTGTTTCCATATTCTAAATTTTTTTGGAGAAACTATGTGTTCCATTAACACATTTTCAGGGTAGAATTTAAACTTTCTCATTCTAACCTTTGAAAAGATTCTAATCTGTAACTTCTGTATATTTAAATGTTGATTTTAAAATTAACACCATTATATCAAACTTTAAATGTAGGTAGCAGAATCTAAATACCATAACAATCCATTTTTAAATACTTGAATGAACTCATCAACAGATTATGTACAATTTTGTTTCTTTATAAACTCATATTTCCATTCTTTTATGTTTGAATTTTTTCTACTGATCATGCTATCATACTTTGATGCAATGAATACACATACATAAAAAATAAAATATTTTAAATTAAATTACTATAAGACTAAGTAGCAAATTGTTGTAGGTTTACTTATTACAAATTTTACTAGTGCATAATTGATAAAAATATAACAAATTTTAAAGTTACTAAACATAAAATCTTTATTTAAAAAATCTCATTAAATATTTTCCCTCAATTAACTTAATAAATAAATAATATTTATTATTAGAAATGAGCACTGACTCCACATACATTTATTTCAATTTTTCATTTCTATTGAGATAGGCATTTCTTATTC